CTCCTCCTCCTCTTCCTCCTCCTCCTCCTCCTCCTCCTCCTCCTACCGCGTGGGAACAACTCTCTGCGCACGAGTCTCCCCTTTCTCAAGTCACGATGCTGGACCCTGAAGATGCCTTCGCAGAGGAGGCGCAAGAGGAGGTTAGACTGGTCGAGGAAAGCCACAGCCATCCCACCACACATGCGAGGTTCCGTATCAGCGATGGCCAGGATGACGAGGATGACGAGATGAGCCCTTTGATGAGCCCAAACCAGCGTCGGAAGACGCCCGTCGCACATGAAAGAGCTCGCGCAAGTTTTGAGAGGGCCATCAATGAACCTTGGAATGGTGCTCATGGCTCCGGCGACCTCCCCTGGTACAAGACGCCATCAGTAAATCTTGACCTCTCCCTCTACGTTGGACTGTTGCTTACCTTGTCCAGATATTCTGGCTTCTTCCCGCCTTCTTCCCCTTCTGCATCGCCTTTGGCGGCATCATTGTTCCCAAAACATACCTCATTCTCGACCTAATCTGCAAGGACTATCTTTCGGAGCAAGCGTCCAAGAATCCAAACTTCAAGTTTCTCCCTGTGGTCCTCGGAGAAGAAAACCCCCAGTGCAGAGATCCCAATGTGCAATCCCGGGTGGCCAACTTCAATCTCTACATCAATCTGCTCAGCGGGATCTTTTCCGCCGTAATATCTCCCCATCTGGGGTCGCTGTCAGACCGAATCGGCCGAAAGAAGGTCATGGTCACTGCCTCCCTCGGCGCGCTCGCCGCCGAAATCATCACCATCATTGTCGGCCAGACCAACGGTCAGGTTTCGGTTTACTGGCTTCTTCTTGGAGGCTTGATCGACGGCCTGTGTGGTTCGTTCACCACGGCTCTGGCTTTGGCCTTTGCGTATGCGTCCGACTGCTCATCCCCCGAACGCCGAGCTGTCGCTTTTGGTTATTTCCACGGAACACTTTTCGCCGGGATTGCGTTGGGTCCCATCGTGTCGGGCTACTTGATCAAAGTGACGGGGACAGTCATGATTGCGTTCTACCTGGCCCTTGCGTGTAACGCTTTCTTCATTGTTTTCACCCTAATTGCGGTGCCCGAGTCGCTGTCCAAGGAGCGACAATTGCTAGCGAAGGAGAAAAGAGAGTTTGCTCGGGCTGAGCTACCCGACAAGAACTGGCTCACGGTCATCAAGAACTACAACCTCTTCGAACCACTCTGGGTTCTGCGTCCGAAAGGCGAAGGCTCCAGCTCGGCCCTGCGGAAAAACCTGTTCGTGCTCGCGGCGATCGATACAATGATGTTCGGCGTGGCAATGGGCACCGTGCAAATCATGATTATCTATGCGGAATACCGCTTCGGCTGGACAGCAGTCAACTCGAGCATGTATCTCTCGGCCGTTAACATCTGTCGCGTGGCCGGGTTGGTCCTCATTCTACCCTTACTCACCAGATGCTTCCGGGGACCTGCACAGATGCAATCCAAAGGGCACAAAGGTTCGGATATGCTCGATATCTGGATCATCCGAGGTGCCATCATCTTCGACCTTGTCGGGTATATTGGATATGCTTTCACTCCGTCTGGTGCGATCATGGTCCTTTCTGGCATGATTGCATCTCTCGGAGGGATCGGCTCGCCTACGCTCCAATCTTCTCTCACGAAACATATTCCGGCCGACCGAACGGGTCAAGTGCTGGGGGCATCGGGTCTTCTGCACGCTCTGGCACGCGTGGTGGCGCCGACAGTCTTTAATCTGATTTACAGTCAAACGGTAGGAATCTACGCCGGGATTGTCTTCATTTGCCTTGCCTCGATTTTTGTCGTGGTTTTTGTTCTCAGTTGGTTCTTGAGACCAAACGGTACGTCTCCTGACCCCCTTCCTTTGTCTTTTGAAAGGCGTTTGCTAATTCAATCCACACAGTCTATCTTGTGGAACCATCTGCCGTGCATCTTGACGAAACAGAAGGCGACGACGGCCATCTAGAATGAGCCATTTATGTGTATATTTACTTGTTTCTTGCCATATACTATACCAGGAAGGACCATAGATTTGTTTGGGTTTCCTGTCGGTCCACCATTTGCCTCATCCATGGCCATGGAGTTTGGGGCATATCTTCTTCGAGGCGTGCTTTTTTTTTTTGTTTTTTTTTTTTTTGGCATAGCATTGTATGTATGTGGTACATATCTAGTCAAGTATCTATCTGTCTATCTATCTGGGTATCTGGGTATCATACCTGAGCCATAACTCAGTGAGAATGATTCTTACACCCGTTTTGTACTTGCCTTGCTTCGACCTTGATCATGCTTCTGAAACCCTCTCGGAAGCCACTCACTCCGGTTTTGCTGGATTCATTCTCGCGGACTTGCTCGTAGTGTGGCATGCATACACTGTACAGACTGTACATGTACATTCAGATCGGGTCGAACCGGCCAAGTCCAAGTTCCCAAGTCTGAGTCTGGCATGGCAAGGCATGGCGTGGCATGATGATCAGATGTTTTTGTTGTATTGGGTATTTGTCCACGCTAGAAAGGCTTGTTTTTACTTATATCCGTAACTGAGTACATTATGTACATACACACCTAGGCAGCTAGGGTAGGTACACATAACTAGGAACCGTATGTAGGTATGGACAGGACATGCCTGCCTCAATGGAAAAGATAGACATGAAAACTAAAATCGTGAGGCTCATTCAATGTAGACTTGACACTGTGGTTTCCCACTCTGTTACCGGCCCTTTTGACCAGGCATGCAAATGCTAGGCGTTCAATTCCCGGCTCATCATGTGGCTGAGGCCCGGAGGCTCAATCAGCGCCCCTCCCCTGTCGAGCCCGACGTTCCACTCCCAGACAGTCACGCCGAGGAGCATACATGCGGCGATGCTGAGAAAGAGTCGCGGGTCCATATGCGAGGTGGCGGGCACGCACAGGATCACAATGATGTACACGATCCGCCCCGAAAGCCGCACGTATCGGTTGTTGACCTTGAGCGTGGCCGGTTCGTCCAGGGACTTGTCCAGCAGAGCCAAGATCGTCATGCTGAGCATGATGATCCCCAGCGAGACCGCACAGGTCCACACTGCGCGATTCAGGTAGCGCGGCAGGTCCTCTCGTGGTATCGGCTCCCCGGATGGACCGGCTAGTGAGTTGTATGGTGCATCGGGTTGGTGGCGGACGATGAACATGACGCCCGAGGCAAAGGTCAAGATCGAGGAGAAGAGTGGAATGTGCCAAAAGACCCACAACAAGCTCTTGCGTCCCTTGTGAGTGGCGCCCGGTATGAACGTCCTACTCCCGTCACGGTTGAAGTAAAGGAACGAGAACTCGGAGTAGATCAACAGCACCCAAATCATGACCCCTGTGCTCCTGTTGAGGCCGAGACCTAGTGGACCGTCCTTGACAAGTTGTAGCACGCCCTCGCCAAGAATGATGATGAAGAAGTTGGACATGCGCGATTGAAAGTGGTGTACGTCCAGAGCTTTCTTGACTTCGATTGGAAGGAGCTTTTCCGTCATTGGTGAATCTAAGATAAGGGGACAAAAGTACTCGCAGACGGTTGCACCAACGACAGGGCCGATAGCACGAGCACCAGGAATCTTGATGGCAGCGACCCAGAGCGCAATTGAAGGGAGTCGAAGGATGGTCTGGAAGAGGACTAGCTTCCGCAGCCACTTGATGAAGATCGAATACACCAGTTCAATGATTCCAAAGGCACCGAAAATAACGAGATATGTCGAGATGACCCATTGCTTGGTCTCGTCGATATCTTCAGTCAAATATGCCAGTTGATTGCCGTAAAAGACCGAAAGGAACAGAACCCATAGAGTAAAAGTGCGCTGTATCATGTCATCCATGTAGTAGTTGTTCAGAAACTCACGCATCGCGTCCCAGATCCGCCACGAAGGCATGAAGACCAAGATAAAGACGAGCTATGCATCTCAGAATCAGTCCATTGAATTGGGATCCTCCGGAGGCGCCACCAGGGTCGCGTGCCTTACCGATGCAATGCCTAGGTGTGGATCTTCGGGTCTGAAAGCTAATGATGAGAATACTTCGGAGAGATTGCTGATAATGCCAACCCAGATCAGATCGATGAAGAGATCGAGTCTTTCCCTCTCCTTGGCGATATCTTCGGGCAGATGGCTGGATATGCTCGACCGGGTTACCGACTCAGGAAGTCCGCGCTCGTCCCCGGCATGGACGACCTGGGATCGATACAAGAACTGAAGAGCCCGGGGTCGACGGAACGTATATCGATGTCTGGCACGGACCTCTGCCTGGGATCGGAAAGTCAGCATTTCTGGTGCGCATGCTCAGAGATGCGAAGGACACAATACTCACATGAGGACCCGCATGCTCATGGCTTGAATGGGATTTGACATGGACTGAAATAGCAGAGACATCCTGAAGTGCAATTTGGTCCTTGCTGTCGTTCTTCTGCTCGCTCCGAATTGGAGCTGGAGAGATGTGTTCGGACAGAATGATATTATCATCCGCTTTGAACAGGTTCATTGCCACATTCACGGCACTGGTGTACAGCGCCTGAGATCACACTGGCGAGATCGAGTCCCAGTGACCTGCAGTGGCGGCGTGCTCAGGGAGGCCCACGAAGGAAAGGGAGCGGAGTGCTCGGATGGTCGACATTGCAAGGACGATATATGTGCTGTGAGTACCGAGTACATTTAGTGGCTTTGAGATCGGTCGGTGTCATTGCACCAAACCCCCAGGGGGTGGCACGAGTAGGGCCAGCCGTACATATTCCGTATCTGGATGAGTGCATGGGAACGTGGGAGCATTGGTGGAGATAACAGCATTGGAGGTCTGGCTGGAGGATGGAGGCTGGACGCTGGACGCTGGACGGGGGACGCTGGAGGGCAACCAACTGCGACTTGGCAGATTCATTCACTCACCCTCACATTCCTTTCTCCGCAGGTGGAGACTTGGACCTCGAATCGCATGATACTTTGCACTCAAGCACACGCCAGCAACTTTGTCATTCAATGTTATTATGTTCCTAGCATACAACGGTTGAAGCTGCGAGTCCTCGATACCTGACCATGTGCCTCCATCAATGAACGGCTCAGTCTCGTTGCCACTGTCTAGGCTTCCCGCGCCCCAGCCCCGGAGTACAACCTCACGATGAATCCTCCAATACATCCAGCATCGCAATCAGCCATCGTTCCCTCCAAAAATGCTCTGCGAGCTCTGCGTCGACTGGCCCTATCGTCTCCCGTCCTTGTGGCCAGCACTCTGGGAGGTGTCTGCGGTATTGCGACCCTCAACTATGAAGTCAACCGGAGAGTCCGCCTGGCGGAACAGGCTCTCGAGTCCAAGAAAATCATACGGTCGTTGTCCCATGGAAGAGGCGCCAGCCAACTCAATGCTATGATTGGAGCTGCAGAAAGAGGTGAAGATTTTACATTGAGCACGAGAAGTACCAAGAGGAAGAAGAAGACTCCGACGAGGGATTTCTCCGCTGTAGCTCTCCAGGAACACTCGGAACACATCCACGACATAACATCAGAGAATCTTCCTCCCGAGGCCGAACTGCAATACCCACCTTTTATCCAATTCGTGCCTTCCTCCAAAGCAACAAGCCGACCATCCCAGACCGCACCGACAATTGGGACGGATCGAAGTGGTATGAACGGCGTGGCTGCGGAGAAGCATCTGAGGCTCAGCAAGGTGCCACATAGAACACCGAGTTATCAAACCAGTATGCCTCCAAAACATCAGCACAAGTTGGACGTGGACAGAGCTACAAATCTTCAGAATTGGCTTGGTCGTATCCCTGAGGGCTCTGCAGGAAAGGTTTCCGCTTACTCCCCGTCGAAGGAGTCTAACCATGATCGTACACCTCAGAAGGGTCAGAGAAGCACTTCGGACTTGCGCATCAGAAGAGTCGCAGTGGTGGATCCCATGCACGGGCAGGAAACGCCAATCGAGTTCCCAATCCCGCAGAATCCACTCCATACAGAGGATGGTAGTAGCCAGGGGCGGCCTCCTCGAGAAGAAAGTGACAGGAAAGGAGCCTCTCCATCCATGGATCCGCTTCTTGACCAGACGAAATCCATACCAGGATCGAACCACGAAGACCAGCAGGTCGAGGCCACAATACGTGGAGCGTTCCATGCTCGTGGGGATCGAGCAGTTTATTTGATTGCTTACCTCGATGACAAAGGTGTAGATCAGGCTCTGAGAGATTTGCTCAGCCAAGTCCCACAGCTGCCCTGGGATCCAGTTGCAGTCGAATGCTTGCTGCCTTCGGCACCGGAGGACTTTGTCAATCACGCCAAAGACATCCTGGATCCGAAAACTCTCTTCAGCCTGCATCAATTTATACAGCCCGAGAATAGGAAAATGAGGCGACACTATCAGTATCGGCGCTGGCTCGCTGTCATGAGACATTTTACCACCCGACCCAGTACTCTGAATTGGGCAATGGCGGAAGCTGTATTCTACGAGCATCGAAGCTTATTCAGGCTCAAAGATCTCAGTATTCAACCAGCGTTTGACCTTGTACAGTATCTCTTAGAGACAGATACCACTTCCAGCAGGGTTCAGAACATCCTTTTCCCCGACTCACTGCAACAGGACTCCGCGGATCCTGCTGAAGCCTTTCAGCTATCGATTAAATACCTGAACTATTTTTGCGAAGAGCAGCACACCATCTCAGAATGTCTTGAAGAGACCAAAAAGATGATCGATGTAGCCCGACGGCGTGGGCTCGTCCCTTCTCAGGATATCATTATGCCTGTTCTCAAAGCTCTCGTCCGTTCAAAAGACTCGGACAATGCGGACATTGTCCTCGATCAGCTTGGGCCAATGCTGGGGAATGTCGAGCATATTGACATTCTAAGCGAATACACGTTTTTGAACGCCTGCGAGGGCAACTGGGCGGTGGTCGAGTCTACGTTGGACAAGATTCACGGCGTCAACACCTCGAGATTTCGACCGGTGGAATTCGCCCGCCTGTTTCAGAGACTTCTATTGCAGCACACGGCGCAAAATCCGTCCGCCCAGTCCTTTGGCTTCACGGTCCATGCCATCAAGTACGCTGGGTTGATACCTACCGGTCTTATTTCCAGGACACTTATCTGCGCCTGCATCCGAGATCGCCGTTACGATCTGGTCGTCGAATGGGTGCGTTTGGTCAAGGAGGCCTTTCCAAGAGTGGGCCTTGGGTTTGATCTGCTCCAAGGGGGATGGATACTTGCGGATACCTTGATGGAGGTCGGCGCCAGCTGCGAGGAAGTTGCCAGAGCTTGTCTGACAATTGCTCATGGGTGTCGGAAAAATCCATTCAGTCCAAACTTTAGAGAATTTGCTATCGAACTCATCAAGACAGACTTGGCTCACAGGCTATGTACAGCCTCTGCTCAGATGTCGACCGGCAGTCTGTCAGGGGACGATATTCGCAAGATGAGTCTGGAGCAATTGCTCACTCTTGCCTTTGATCTTCGCAACCCGTCAACGAACCCGCAGCCGAACGAAATGCAGCACGAGGGGTTGAGGATTGATATTGCGACTCAAATGGCAGCAATAGTAGATCTGGTCAAGACGTTTCGAGGCGACACAAAGCTTTTGTTTCTGAGCAACAAGAGTCAGATGGATATCGTTTCCAAACGGCGCCGTGATGGTGATTCTGGCCAGAAATTGCGCGGTATGGGCGTTTTCAAGCGAACCTTCCCCGAACTGTTCGACCAAGAGGGGAACACCGGAGCCAGAACATTGACAGCCGCGCTGGTGGCATATTATGACGGGCGTGAGCAGAAAGGTCTACCAGTCGACCACGCCGTGTTGAGACACCTCATTACCAATATCGGTCCGCAACATCCAGCAGAAACGCTTGAACTTGTCGAGGCTATTTATGCAAGTGGGTACGTCCAAGGACATAATGGAACCCCCTTCGATGCAGACATATTCAAGAAATGGCTCTACCTGGTATCGACAAACGGATCCGTCGCGTCCGCTGCAACGGTGCTGAAGGCGGTGGTCTATTGCAGCAGTCAGTTGGAGTGGACTACGCATTTTCGTGTTTTGTGTGAGTTTGTGGCCCAGGTGGAGAGCTACCCTGATGGCAGTTTCTGGGACGAGAGACAATATCCCAAAAAACCCGAAGATGGCGAGTTGAGGCCGTTGTATGAGGAGATCAAGAGGATCTGGCTTCTTGCTGCAAAGCAAAGGAAGGAGGCATTCAAATTTCCCGAGTGGAAGGGTTGGGAGATGGAGCTCATGTAGTTGTTGCAAGAAAGAAAGAAGTATGTGAGCCATCTAGGAACACCGTGCGTGAAGTTGAGATTGAGATTGTAGTAGGACGTCGCTGTGGTGTAATTAACGTGACATGTATGGGCGTATTTGTATATCGCCTGCGTATTGCGGCATGTGCGGCCGCACGCAAGTGGCCCATTTATTTGACTTGGTCCACATACAAATAAATACATCGTCACACCTTCAACCAAGGCGTTCATATATATGCAGTTCCTCCAATTCTTCACCTGAAAGTCACTCTTTCACTGCTTTTTCCTTCATTTCTTGAATCGATCCTCTATTAACAATTACCCATAGCCCTTCCATCCACCCTACCCACCTACCTCGCTACCTACCTAATTCAACTCCCCCCCCCCCCCCCCCCCAGTAGGCCGCGAAACCAAACCATGGCGGACGTGACAAAAGACGAGGAGGCTTCATCCGGGCAGAAACCGCTTCCCGCGCAGACATTGCAGGGCAAAGTTGCGATTGTCACGGGCTCGAGCCGCGGACTCGGCGCCGACATGGTCCTGGATCTGGCGAGGAGAGGCGCAAAGGTCAGTAGTTTGTCGTTGTCATTTACGTTTTGAAATTCCTTGGATCGTTCTCGTCGGTGCGCGTGGAGAGGATGAGGACTGGCCAGACGGAGATGGCAAGGGATGTGGAAAATGAAGAAAGAAGGGGATTTACTCGTCGCCTCTGTGCCGCAGGTCCATGCTATCTAGCCATCCTTGTGGTGGTGGTGGTCCATCTTCCTCTCCCATCACGGCTGGTTCTCCCCTCCCCTGCCCCTTTATTCCCTCCTCTGCTTCTCCCCCCATTCAACACATGCATATTCCTCCTCGTCCATCTATCTCACACGACCAACCGTGTCTCCTTGTCCTGATTCTCTCCAGGTCGTCATCGTCTACACATCACCATCCTCCGCCACCCCCGCGGCCAAGCTGGTCGAGAAGATCGAGCACCTGCCCAACGCATCCTCTGCGATCTCGGTGCGCGCGGACCTCTCGCAGGTTTCGGCACCGGACGAGATCGTCGCGCAGACCCTCTCCGCGTTCGGATCCAACATCGACATCCTGGTCAACAATGCGGCGGTGCAGGTGGCGCGGCCGCTCGGCGACATCACCCGCGACGACTACGAGCGCGTCTACGACGTCAACGTGCGCGGCGTCATCCTGATGACGCAGGCCGTGCTGCCGCACATGCCGCCGCGGTCGCGCGTGGTCAACATCTCGAGCGTCGGGGCCCGCGCCGGCTTCGCCACCCTGTCGCTGTACACGTCGAGCAAGGCCGCGCTCGAGGGCCTCACGCGCTCCTGGGCCGCCGAGCTCGGCGCCCACGGCACCACCGTCAACTGTGTCGCCCCCGGCCCCGTCCAGAGCGAGATGCTCGACACCATCCCCCCAGCCATCGTCAAGATGCAGATGGACAACACCCCGCTAGAAAACCGTGTCGGCACTCCCCCCGAGGTGAGCAATGTCGTCGCCTGGCTCGCCGGCCCCGAGAGCGGCTGGGTCACGGGCCAGGTGCTCAACGTCAGTGGCGGATGGACCATGTATTGAGTCGATCCTGGTCGGGGACGGGGACTCCCTCCCTTCTTTTTTAATACCCCGTTGGGTTTTCCTTGGGGGTCATGCATGTATCGATAAACAATAGATTCACATCTTGTTTTCTAAAGGAAAAGGAAAGGAAATGGGGAGTCGCAATACAAGGGCAAGGACTGATGATAGGGATATATCACTGAACATGGACTGAGTACCTCGCGTGCGAGTACGGGGTTTGGGTATTGGGGGTGACATATTGGGCTCTCATCTCCACAAGAGAAGCTCCCAAAAGGATCAAAAATTTGGCATCTATTTCAGCAAAAGGGGACCTGGGGTGTTGGGTCTAGAACAGGGACTTAGATAGAAACCACGACAATAAGGGAAAAGAGAATCGAGAAGCCATAGGAAGCCCTAGCCACGATTATCGTGGCAAAGAGGGAGATGGAAAAAAAACACCATGTAATGAGACGAGATGTCTGTCTGTTCATTAATTTTTTCATTTTTTCTGGACTCTAATAGACTCACAGCCAGTACACTCAGTACTCGGTTATTTTTCTCCCCGCATGATACCATAATACCATAACAACCGGGCGGCATTTATCGTACAGTGGGCAAAATCCTCGCGTGTTGACCAGCAAAGAACTTTTTCTGCTCCAGACATCGCTCGCTCGTGCAGCCTTGACACCTCAGCCCCATCTGCCTGGAACAGCTCTCGCCACTCAACAAGTGTTTGTGCGCGATGTCGGCCAGGGCCTGGATGAAGACCGGGTTGCCGTTGAGGCTCTCTGCGCGCTTGACGCCCGGGTGGCCCTTGGCGTCCTCGTGCATGACTTCCTTGTCGATCTCGTACAGCGTTTCGATGTGGTCGCTCGTAAAGGCAATGGGCACCAGGACGATGTCTGTTTGGCCTCGCTTCATGTATTCCTTGACGGTGTCGCTTGTCTGGGCGCCCAACCAGGCCGAAGGCCCGACTTGGGACTGCCAGCAGAGCCTGTACGGGTGCGAGTGGCCGAGTCGGTTCATGACCGCGTGCACTGTTGCAGCAACCTCGGCCGGGTAGGGGTCGCCTCTGTTGACCACGCTCATGGGGAGGCTGTGGGCGGAAAACAATATCACCACGTCTTTCCGGCGTTCTTCGGGGTATTCGGCCAATTTGGCCTCGATGTTCTGCGCAAATGCCTCGACTAACCCTGGGTGCGTGGGCCAGCGGTCGATGACGCTCCATGTTATTGCACCTTCTGGATTAACCTCCCCCGTTGCTCGCTTGCCCTCAAGTCGGTTGCGCCATTTCCAAAGCTCGTTCAATGAGCTTCCCGTGGTGGAGCAGCTGTATTGAGGATACTGTGTGAATGCCACCGCTCGACCACCTTTTCCACCACCAAATCCATCATTCAAAAGTTGTTCATACATTTGCTCCGTCAAGGGGTTCGCATAGCGGAACGCCACGTATGGCTTATGTGGTGCTGTTTCTGGCGACAACTCGTCTAATATCTTACACATTTCGGCACATTGGTGCTCGGACCATTTTCTTATGGGTGAACCCCCGCCTATAGCTGCGTACTGTTGTTGGATCTTCGGGGTGCGCCGGCGAGAGATGAGAGGCCCAAGGTAGGGTTGTAAGGGGCCAAGGGGAATGAGGTCTCGGTCAGCGAAGAGACGAGAGAGGAAGTCGCCCACTTCGGAGGTGTGCGAAGGACCGCCCATGTTCATAAAGACCATTGCTGTTGGTCCTTTAGAACCGGTGGCATCCTGCGTCACAGGAGGGACGGCCGTTGCCATCGAGGCACTCGGGGGAATCGATAGGCCATTCTTGACAGGGGAGGTCGCTGTCGGGCGCTTCGTCGCCAGTCGGCGGGTGAGCTGGCCTGTAGTGGTACGTAACGACATTTTGCGTTCGGCGACGATGGACTGGTGGTTACCGAGCCATGAGAGGAGTCTGAAGGAGAATACTACTGCTGAGGAGCTGTTGGTGTAAATGGAGTAATAGTGTCAGTTGTAGGGAGCTGTCTCTTTGGAATCTAACCGATGAACTTTTTCGCCGCCGACAAGAACCACAGGTCTAGGAAGTTCGATGATGATGATGATGACAATGGACGAATCAAGTGGCCGCCAAATCGCCCGCCTCCATCTTCTCTCGGTGTCTCTCAGAGTCTCGACCGCAGCTGCGGAATTGCGCCCGTTCACGTGAAAACGCGTGGTTCAGCCTTGAGCGCGACCTTCTTGCTGCCTTGCCTTGCCGTGTTGCCGTGTTGGCATTACATCAAACTCCTCCTCCTCCACACGACACCTCCGCCTACGTCCTTCCCTGTCTTAATGAGCGCAGTATGGGTGACAATTTGGCATACCGACCAAAGGGTGATTCGGACGAGGCTGGTAGGAATGACGACCCCGATGAGGAGGAAGAGGAGGTGGATGAAACTGGCTACAAGACCGTCCGAGATGCGGTTCTGTTTGCCGTCGAGGTCAACAAGTCCATGCTCAAGGTGCCACAATCATCATCTGCCTCGAAACGTTCCGACAACTCTTCACCCCTGTTGGCCGCACTGAAATGTGCATACCATCTCATGCAGCAGCGAATCATCTCGACGCCCAAGGATCTCATGGGTATCTTGCTCTTTGGAACAGAAGCCTCCAAGTTCTACGACGAGGATGAAGATTCCAAGGGTGGTTGGTCTTTTCCTCACTGCTACCTTCTCACAGATCTAGATGTGCCCGAAGCAGACGATGTTAAGGCTCTCAAAGAGTTGGTCGAAGCCGAGTCTCCAGAGTCGGCCGATATCTTCAGGCCGGCAAAGGAGCCTGTCTCTATGCACAACGTTCTTTTCTGTGCCAACCAGATCTTTCAGCAGAAAGCTGCCAATTTCACCTCACGCCGGTTGTTTATCGTCACGGATAATGACGACCCTCATTCATCCAACAAGGAGTCTCGGTCTCAGGCCACCGTGAGAGCGAAAGATCTGTACGACTTGGGTGTGACAATTGAACTGTTCCCAATCTCCACCTCGGATCACACCTTTGATACGAAACTCTTCTGGGACGACATCGTTTACCGGTCGTCGCCTTCGGATCCTGATGCGATCGTCCACAACCCACCGTCCATTGTGGATGCAGATGGTTCGAAGTTGGTGAGCGGCGCTGGCGACGGCATCTCCTTGTTGCAGTCCTTGCTATCCACCATAGCCTCCAAAGTTGCACCGAAACGTGCACTGTTCTCTTCTGTCCCGCTTGAGTTGGCCCCAGACTTCAAGATATCTGTCAAGGGATATCTGCTCTACAAACATCAAAAGCCGGCTCGCAGTAGTTACATCTACCTTGGGTCCGAAAGACCCCAGATTGTCACTGGTTTCACAGAGCAAGTCGCAGACGCCGAGGAGGATCGCCGAGCAGTAGAAAAGGCCGAAATTCGCAAAGCGTACACCTTTGGAGGAGAGAAAATCACGTTTACTGACGAAGAAGTCAAGAAACTGCGCAACTTTGGGCCGCCTGTCATCCGCGTGATTGGATTCAAGCCAATGTCCAGGTTACCCATGTGGGCGAACATGAAAAATTCCACCTTCTTGTATCCATCAGAAGAGGATGTTGTGGGTAGCACACGTGTTTACAGCGCACTGCATCGCAAACTGGCCAAAGATCAACTGTTTGGTCTGACATGGTTCGTTCCGAGAAAGAATGCTGCTCCGGTGATGGCTGCTCTGGTTCCAACACTCAGTGCTGAAGGCAGCGACGAGAAGCCCAATGCTGCCGGTGTATCTGCCACTGGCGCACCCCAGGGCTTACATCTGATTCCTCTGCCGTTTGCGGACGATATCCGACAGAACCCGCCAAGTACTCATGAGACTCCTTTGCGTGCACCAGATGAGCTCGTTGACGCAATGAGGCCTATCGTCCGTGAGTGACATAATCCTTATGAGACGTAGATCACTTCTGCAACGATGCTAACCAAGTGATCAGAGCAGTTAAATCTTCCAAAGGGCATCTATGACCCTTCAAAGTATCCCAACCCTAGCCTACAATGGCATTATAGGATCCTCCAAGCGCTAGCTCTCGACGATGAGATCCCCGAAAAGCCCGAAGACAAGACGATACCGAAATTCCGGCAGATAGACAAACGTGTAGGAAGCGAGACCATAGAATGGGGCAAAATGTTGGAGAAGGCCTTCAAGCAGTATCTAGCGGAAAATCCAGACACGGTACCTACGGGATCCAAGAGAGGCACCGCGAATGGAGCAGCTGCTTCGTCAAGCGCAGCAAGCAAGAAAGTCAAGACAGAGGCGGGGAATTGCACGAACGAAGAGGAGATCCGGAAACTTTGGCAGAAAGGGCAACTGGCGAAACTGACAGTTGCAGAGCTGAAAGATTTTTGTGCAACGAAGAAGATTCCCACTGGTGGAAAGAAGGCTGATATCGTCGAGAGAATTGAGGAATGGCTGGAAAGCAAGTGATCGTCATACAGAAGGGCTGTTCAAGGTATTTGGTAGGGTGTGTTCGGCCCGGAAAAACGATGTGATGACCCCAATCCAAATGTATTGTAGCTGATATTGTGACATTATCAAAATGGATAAGACTTCGTGTGGTTAATGTGTGGTCAATCATTGCAGTCCCAATCACAACCTCAAAAGAGGGAGACTGGCACTGCACCCAAGATCGACTACAGTTGTATTGATCTCCATTCCAATAGACGATTTCCGTACATCATGGATCACCGCTTGGAAGTAGTAACCTCGTAGGAATGCTTTTTGAAGGAACGTTGATATTTTGCGTTGTTCATGAAGAAGAGAAAAGGAGAAGAAGAAGGCGAAACACGTTCGAAGCGATATTACAAGCAAAATTCTGTGCCAAGACCTATACCGGAAATGGTTAGACTAGAGGTCGATGTCTCGGTATAGTTGCCTGTAGCGGCGTCACTTGGGCCACTAGGGCGAATGCAGGAAATGACGTTGGGGATGCGAAACTGCGGTCATCCACCTCGACCGTCCGTTACCAACCCCAGCGCATGTGCTTCTGGTCCACTCCTTTGTCATTCCTTTCCGACGGCGGCAAACCCATTGAGTGAACCATTTGCCCATGGCGTCCGACGTTCTGCTACCTTTTGTATCTCTCTGATCTTCGGTGAGCGCAATGGCACGGGTACCATTCATTGGCCGGCTCTTTTGGTGTGTTTTCCTTCTCCTCTATCTCTTTGTCGAGTCTCCCCGTGACTAACGGCTGTTTGATCAGGAGGGAATACCTGGCCCTGTTCGGGTCCCTGATACTTGTGGCCCTCGAGGTACTCGTTCGCATCATCACACTGGGCCTGCCTCAACCCATCATTCGATTCTGCTACAACGCCTCCAAGAACGTATTCAACCGACTGTCGTCGCAAAAGTCCCGGCAAGCCCGGTCCCAACGAAAGCATACATACAGTTCGATCGCGACCTGCTCGGATTTCACCGAACTCTGCGCCTTCTTTGGATACTATGCCGAGGAACATGTTGTCCAGACCGGGGATGGATATTTGCTGGGGGTCCATAGACTTCCCTTTCGCAAAGGCGAGGAGCATAGCGGGATACAGGTCAATGCAGGGGCCGACTCGATCAGGAAACCCGTGGTATACCTTCACCATGGCCTCCTCATGAATAGTGAGGTTTGGGTTTGCCTCACCGAAGAGGAGCGATGTCTTCCATTCACGCTGGTGCAGCAAGGCTACGACGTCTGGCTGGGTAACAATCGAGGCAACAAATACAGCAAGAAATCCACGAAACACTCGCCTATATCCGCACGGTTTTGGAACTTCTCCATGGATGAATTTGCCTTTCACGATATCCCCAACACGATTGACTACATCCTCAACACGACTTCACAGCCCTCGCTCTCCTATATCGGTTTCAGTCAGGGTACCGCACAGGCGTTTGCTACACTATCCATCCATCCCCAATTGAACGAAAAGGTCAATCTTTTCATCGCCTTGGCACCGGCCATGTCTCCTGCTGGTCTCAGCAACGGTATCGTGGATGCACTGGTTAAGACCAACCCTCACCTGTTGTTCCTTGCGTTTGGCCGCAAGTCAATCCTGTCTTCCGCCACCATGTGGCAATCGATCCTCTACCCACCAATCTTCGTCCGCCTCATTGACATGTCTCTCTCCTTCCTCTTCGCTTGGTACGGCCGCAACATCAGCGTGCAGCAGAAACTCGCTGCATACCCTCACCTTTACAGTTTCACGAGCACAAAGTCCGTCGTGCATTGGTTCCAAATTATCCGTAACAAATCTTTCCAGATGTACGACGACGACAGCTCCAACAGGTTTAGCATTGGCGCCAGCAACCGATATTACAAAGTTGCCAAGTTCCCAACGAGAAACATCAAGACCCCCATTGTTCTCGTCTACGGGGGAAGTGACTCACTGGTCGATATCCGTGTCATGCTTAGGGAGCTCCCTCGTCACACCATTGCGACCGAGATTCCTCATTTCGAACACCTCGATTTCCTCTGGGCCCAGGAAGTGCATACACTGGTCTTCCCACATGTGCTAGAAGCGCTCAGTTACTACGCTCAAGACGGTACAACAAATGGCATCCCAAAAGCTCTGGCTCTTTCCATGAATGACACGGCACAGCTCCACCGCCGGCAGAACAGTAATAGCAGTGCCGTGAACTGGTCTGAAGATGACTCTGCTGGCGGATATTCAGACTTTGACGGCGCGATTGATTCACCTCGCACCCCGCGAGTAAAGAGTTATGCTCAGCAGCAGAGAGAGAGGCAGTATCTGCACTCATCGCCGGGCCAAAATCATTCGCCTTCTCATTCCCCTCTGCAATATCAATACCAATATGCCGCCCCTACTCCGAACAGACCCGTACCTGGAAGCTCGATGACGTGGATGGAAAGCTACTACAAATATCCCAAAAAGGAAACGCAGGGAATGACCGAAGGTACCGGGACGAGTAGTGGGCTTAGGAATCACACTGAAATGGACGCAAGTCCACAGCCGACACAGCAAGAGACTGAAAGTCAACAGAGGCAGCAAGAACAGCGACAAGTGTATGATCAGAGTCCCATGGGAACGCCACAACACGAACAGGATGACGCTTCCCCAGAGCCCGGCTTTGGACGAGCAGTGTTTTCGACTTCTCGGGCACTACCTCTTGACAGCGACTCGACCAGTCCTGTTTCCACAATCCGTAATCGGAACAGCGGGTTTACCGGCCGTCCTGCGACTCCGGGGCAACAAGGTCCTCTAAACGCCGACGAAGACAGCGCGCCAGGAAGCGCCAGCGCGGGTAGCAGCGGGAACGGACACCGGCAACGTTCGACCTCAGCCGCTGGAAGCGTTTCGAATACCAGCGGGCGCACGACGCCAGTAAGCAGAGGCACACCACCCAGTTTTACAGCAAAGGGAATTCGTGTAGGGAGTTCGAGGCCGAGCGTGGGTGCCGCCATGCCCTAATGTATGTTCCGAAGGGAAAGCGAGGGATGTGCAAAAGGCTGAGACCCAGGCGGATCTCTTGCCCAATGGGGAAACCTTATAGAAGACAAAGTCAAAGCCAAAGCCAACACAACACGCGCCAGCTAAAATATAATTATACTTTTCAGACAAAATGAACGTCACTCACTCACTCGTGTGTGGGTATCGCCGGGACGTTCCGGTAACATACTGTGAATCTGTAGATAGGTAATTTGTACACGGCTAAGAATACCGAGTACGAATCTACGTATTATCAGTCTATCTGCCTATAGACGATTCTACTCGTAGATATAGATTCTTCTAGGGCACCTTATTTTTGGGTCACCCTGCCACCCGGTGACCCGGTCCGCTAATAATGCAAAAGAGCAGAACACGCGCGTTCATGGGCGCAAACCCCCTTTCGTTCTATCGTTATCCCGATTCCGTGTCTTGATGCATGCAAGTTGTATGTCTGAGACGTCGTAAGGTCGTGTTCAACCACCTTCGTAAAAATAGTAAGGACAGAAACGCCAGCAAAATGCTCAAAGTGTCGCGAGTAAATCCAAAACACCCCACGCAATGCAATCGCTCGGCCATGCGTCGCAATTTAAAATGCTCTGAAATTCCCTCATCCGAGAGTCGTCCTCGTTCATGCCGTTTTCAGCCTGTCAAACAGGCAGTGGACGTGACGTGACATGATCAGGGCGCCCTTTCCACAAGTGTGGACTAAGGTATATGTATATATAATACAAGGGCTGAAATTATTGATAGTCGTACTTCTTCTCTGTGGCTGCTCGGCTTTGTCGGATCAACCCACAGACATATCTTGTCGCTCAGAGAAAAATATCGTCTCATACGACAAGTGCGGCAACGGCCACAATAGCAGCCACCATGGTAGCCATCGGTCGTGCGCTGCCCTTGTCCAGGGAGCCGGAGTTGGTATCGCCCAACGGGGTGCTGGAAGTGGCAGTACCAAGCCTGGCTCCCCCCGTGCCCGCAGACACGTCAGTGACGGGACTTGAAACCGGTGTCGCATTGGGAACCGCTTTCTCGCCAGTCGTGATCTCCTGGATGTTGTCGCCCGTGGAATTGAAGACGGTCTGCGCGAGGGAGATCTCATTGTTGGCCAGGTCGTAGACCACGTAGGCACTCCTCAAGAAGGTATCCCCAAGGACGGCCAACGAGTTTTGAGCTGGGGCAATGCCGAACAAGCAGGCTTCCTCGCCGTTCTCGAAGGTCAAAGGCTGGCCAAAGTTGTTTGTCCCTGCGTCAAGGAACAACTCGTCGAATGGAACCCGAATGGTTTGGCCGGAGAAGGTGAAGTCGATTGTGGCAGTAGATGAGGACAGACTGCAGGGAGCATATGCGGCTCCGATATCGCTTTGATATACAGCCTGGACTTGGTTGTAGATGTCCTGGGTGATGTCATTGGGCAAGTAGCTAAGAGTGGCGCCCGAGTCGAGGAGGACGGCCGTGGGCAACGATGACGAGGAAGAGAGGTCATTGCCAGAGCTTACCAAGCCTGTGAGGGCAATGGTAAGTTGGGCATAGACGCCATTGCTGGGGATGATGGGTATGGTGGCGAGTTCTCCTTCGTACTTTGCCGTGTTGACGCCGCCGAAGAGAATCTCGCCTGTTGAGGCGTCCAGGTCGTTGAGCCAAAGACTGTACGCATTGGAGGCAATGTGGCCACCTCGGACAAGGGCTTCTGGTAAATTTGGATAGGGGTCCAGTCCCGCACGTTGAACCTGAACCTCATTTGCCATGTAACCAATACCCAGCACACCCTGCTGTGAGGAGGACGTCTCCCCAATCCCAAATTGGAAGTCTGTCAGCGTAACGGCGCCAAATTGCAAGGTGTCGGCCACGTAGTCACCCGCAGCTCCTGTGCCGTCGACGTAGGAGATGTTGAATTGGTCATTCACAAGCTTGTATGTCGACGAGGCCGAGGAGTCGTACGTGCCCCCCTCGCAGGGATCTTGGCTAGACCCGCAAAAAGAAGAGCTGGCAACGTTGACCCATAAATCCGAGCTGCCCGTGTCTATGTGCATGCGTAACGACTGGGCTGGAGTCCCCAGCGTGATGTTGGCGTAGTAGAGGGACTGTTCATTGTCCAGCGTCTGTTCGACAGTTCGTTGCGTTTGTCGTTTCCTTAGGCGAGATCTTTCGTGGGCGAGGATGTCGGGAACATGTCTTCGCTCAATAGGTAGGCCGATTGTTCTAGGCGAACTCGAGGTGGAGCGGGGAGCGAGGTGGATGGCCGAGACTAGAGGGGCGGCCAATGTAGCGGCAGCCACCACTGCGACAGAGGGTTTCATTCTGGTTTGCTGGTTGCACCACCCGTACCAGGAATTATTGTGTTGCTTGAAGGAGAAATCAGACAAAGGGCCTCTCGGTTCCTGTCACAATTAAAAGAGTGTCTGTCTATTCCAAGGATTCAGTGATAAGTGGTTGGGAAGGGACCAAGACGAGGCGTTTGAGGCGTCGAGGGCTGGTGGCTTAAGCGAGACTGGCCCTAGCAGTGTGTAGGATATGTATGTACGGTAGAGAGCCGCTTAACGCAACAGGGTGATATTGAGGAGCGAGTGACGCAGTCTGCAACAAACAGAAACAATAAGGAACAACAGTCAATGTTTTTACAGAAACCCAAGAGTCAAAATGCAAAGCCAGAAAGCGGGACGAGGGTAGTAGAAGTAGTAGGACGATACGAAGGCCGCAGTGAGTGAGCATCGTGGCATCATGGCGCAGTTACGTCGGACTGCGGAAAGGTACCTCGAGGCCTGAGAAGGACGGTGTGGACGGTTCAACGGTGGATGACGATGGGCAAACGACTGATGTGCGTAGGTCTCCATTGCGATGTAATACCGTTGTGACCATTTCCACAAGGTTCCCCGTTTCCGATCTGACTTTTGGGGCTCACATGGTGAAAGAGTTGGTGAGTTGGTGAGTGGGTGAGTGGGTGAGTGGGTGGATGAGAGGTTGAGAGTGTCTACGTATGCCTATTGTCCCGCCACTGCCGGCCAGTTTTGCCTGTCGAGTTTGCCTGGCAAGCCTGATCAAAGCAGGTTACGCGGCACCGCCAAGGCTCCGGCCCATCCTTCACTGGGTGCTTGGGTAACGTCAGTGGCTGCGCACCTTGTCGATCCCACATTGACTTCTTTTCTATCTGCGAGACTGACATTCAATATACGATACTTCCCATTGAACCCGCTTGAGCCTGCTTGAGCCGCTTCTCTATTCTTACATCGAAACATCTCCATTACCCATGTCTCTCCGAGTGCGCACACCAATGCACGTAACCACAATCCGCCCTCTTCCAGTCAGGCTGGTATGACCACCCCAGAGGGGGCTGGTGAGGCTGTAGCGGCCCGTCGGGATTTTGCTGCTAAAATTGGGGGACGCCGCCACTGGTTGATGCCACATCAGCCCCCCCAAAGCGGCCGCACCCACGAATACGACTGGGAAGCCTGATCAAAATCTGCCCCAAGCGATTGGTTCAACGGCCTGCAACCGCCTCCTTCGTGCCTTGCCTCCACCTCAGCCTCCCCAGTTTGCTTATAGCTATACCGACGTGACCGAGTATCCCTTGCCTATACTGGGTACGGAGAGCGAATTCTGTAATCACGGGTCGCGACTCATTCGAAAACTGTTACGTGTTTATACTAGCAGGAGTTTTGGCAAGAGTTATTTCGCATTACACAGGGATTACAGGAGCACCAGGTGCTACCGAGGACACGCAATAATATGACGCGCTCAGAGGACGTACCCTCCACACCCAATATTTCCCCAGTGTCGAATAGGCCGTGTATCTTCCAACTCGACGCACCACCAGAGAATCTCTCTGGCTCTGTCCACCTCGCCACCCAGTTCATGCGCTCTGGCCAGCGCAAACCATGCTTCTGAGTTGTCCCATCCCAAACCCAATTTCGTCAGTGTTGACAGCAGTCCATATGCCCGATCACGAGCTGCCAATCTGTTGAGGTTGTCCGGCGTCTTCTTAAGATCCTCTTCTCTTGGCGACGGAGTGTTGGACGTCCCCACAGAGGTGCTTGTATTCGCAGCTGGACCATCCATCTCGAACCAGCCATTGGTGGCGGCGCCCGTAGAGATTCGGCTCCATTCGCGTTTGTGCTTTGGCCGACTTGGTTCATCCTGGGGTTGTGGCTGCTGTGGCTCTTCTGTCCTTGGCTTGCCATTGTCGATTCGCCGGGCCAATTCCACTTTGCGTTCGTAGTAGTCCAGGAGCACATTACTCAAGCCCACGATCCCTCCCGGATGGTCGGCAAAGTACATCAGACATTGCTCATAGTTGTCCACCGCCTCGCGGATCCCTTCAGAGAAGACAGTGCCTTCCTTCTCTTCGCGAGCTCGGGCAATAGCCATTAGTAGTTCCGCTCGCTCACAATACACGTCAGCCCAAAGCTCGTCTGAGCTTTTCCCTCCGCCGCCCCATCCGCTGTCACCGAAGGCGCGCGCCGAACTTTCCACGCTGGCGACCATGCCCTCAATCTTCAATGCCACTTTAGCTGCCTCGTCGCAAGCTTCCCGTGAGTCGTCAAACATGTTTCCTCTTCGGTAGAGCGTTGCAATAATCAGCCATATTTTGACCAGTATACTCAGGGCGTGTCTCTGAGACGCAGTGCGCGGAAACCGAGGTGTAGGGTCCGTCCGCAATGTCCCCGGCCCCACGACTGGCAGCCGCACATCTTGCTGTGGCGGTTGATCTTGGTGCTGCGCTGGAGGTGGCACTTTCTCATGCGATGTCAGGTTGTGCGGTATCTCTTTGAGGGGCTGTTTGGCTCCTTCGCTCGCATCGTGGTCTGGAGACACAGCCACCACTGGAACATCGCCAGATTTTATGGTTTCTAACTGGGGCCGTTGCTCGGGTTGGCCAGCACCTGTCATTGCCTCCGGTGTAGGGGCTGTATCCTGCGAAGTTTCGAAAGACTGTCTCGTACTTGAGGCATGACTTGGCTCCTTTCTCCCTCGACTCAGTGACCTGGACCGCCTTGACCTTAGACCCTTTGTGGATACAGGTGCTGAAGAGTGACGCTTCCCTTCCTTACCATGCTCATGGATATGAAATATTTTGTGCTTATGCGGTGACGGTTTGCCGTCTTCATTGATTACCTGGATAGTCGGCGCTTGGGTGGTTTGAGTCGCCTGAGTCGCCTGAGTACTGGGCCGCACTTCTTCCGTTATCGACGGAGCGATATTGATCGGCACTCCTTTGGATGATTCACTCGACCGTCCCAGTCTCTTTCGATGGAACAGCTTGCCCGGAAGACTCCTGACTGTGCCACCCGAGCTTTTCGGTGGCTGGATTGATCGTTTTCTCGACGTTTCTTCGCTGACAGCGATCACTCCATATCGTCCAAACAGCCGGGAGTACAATGCAAGCAAGTCGTTGCTGTTGTTGACCGCATGCTCTGGACCTTCGATTAGCTCTGTCAATGCGAGTTCAGTGATGCGAATCTCGATGATTTTTTGTAACTCGTCACACTCCATATCATCCACCAATCCAAGTTTGCGACTCCCATTAGCTGATCTTCCACCAATCGACGCACCATTAGAGAAGTCGCCGAAGATTGTCTCTGGTGGCGAAAATTGCTCAAATGCTGCCACGCAACTTTGGCTTGCTGTCTCAAAGTTGTGCCGGGAAGTGAGAAGGAGGGATAACAAGTGCCAGAATGGCAGCAGTTGCCGTTGTATGCGATAGTTGTCGTGTTGCTCGAGCTTGTCTGTCTCCCAGGCCAGCGCTCTCTTCACAGTTGCGATCGCCTGATCAATGTCTCGCGTCTGGGCGAGCAATTGACTTAGTGCATACAGGGATGGCAGTAGCTTTTCAGGAGGGAGATCTTGTGCTGCCGCCGTCTGTAAACATTCAATGGCCGTGGTCTGAAGGTTGGTCCGTTCCTCACTGAAAGGTGTCCACCGAGCCCACTGGGCTTTTCCTATACCAATGGCTCGGTAGGCAGCCTCTAGCAAGTCGGCGGACAAAGTGGGAGTGACCGGCCCTTCCCCGTTGACGACTGCGTTGCTTCTCGATGCGACGCCATTGGGAACAGAACTTGTGGCAGGCGGTTCGAGTTCGTCCAGGAGATCTTCGAGCTTATCACACAGCTCATGCGCCTTTTCCGCCTCAGCGTAGCGGCCAAAGGAGCACAGGCCTTCAATACCCTCAGCAATGGTTTTCATATAGACCTCGTCACTGTCTCTGCTGGTTGCTGCAGTTTCAGACTTGGCAGCCCTAGTCCGCGCTCGTTCCATAAGCTCAATATAGGTGTCCAAAGCCTTGTAAGCCAAGGCAAAGTCCGTCAAGGCTTTATGCACTTGGAACAAGCGGCGTAGGATAAGGGTAGAGTGAAATGACTTTGTGGCAGCTCGATAAAGCATGTCGAGCACATTTCTGCCACACGAATTGCGACCACCTTCACCCAAGTCCGAGTCAGACCAACTGGGTCCGCAAAGAATCTGCCAGTTGAGAATAAATTCTTCCACCCAGGTCTCTATGATTGCGTTGGACTCGGTAGCCTTTGGAAATTGAACGTTTCGCAAGAGCTCGTTCTCATAAGAGGTCTCTACCCTCCTCAACTCGATCGCCAAGTCAGAGTGTCCAATGGAGAGGTGGTTCGCCATTCCTTGTCTGTTTTGCAGTATACTGGACATGAACCTATAGTAAGCTCTCCACATATCGAGCTTCGACAAATGTCCCGGGCCATTGCCATAAGTCGATGCCGAAATCTCCTGGTCCTTAACCGCGAGCACGGCCCAGTGACGGAATGCTTGGAGTCTGAACGAGGCCGACTCGGGATGAACGTCGCCCCCGGATTCAGTGACTGACGAGCTCTGGCCCAATGCAACCCGACCGAGTAGTTGCTGTGCCCAGTAAAGGAGTTGAGGAGTAGAAATAACCATGCTCCTGTTGGCATCTAGCCAAGGAAGTAAAGAGCCGAGTAGTTCGTTTGCCTCTTTGCCGTCGCCAGCTTGTGCTAAGAACATCCCTTTGATGTAAACCGTCTTGACCACGCAAATCTTTGTCCATACTGAAATGGCGTCTGCTGCGGTTCGTATAGGTTCGAAAGTGATAGCGGGGGTCTTGCGGTCCGATTTGTGGGCGCCTACCCAGCGCGCCCAAAGCAAGCATGTTTGGCCTTGTACCACCTCTTCAAACGGTTGTCCTGTGCCGCGGAGGCCTTCTTCGAGAGAGGTGGCTTGGGAATCTGGTAGAGGTTGGTTCGATGGCGCAGTGCCGGGTCTGCGGGCGAGTGTAGAGGCGTAGTTGGCGACATCGTGTTCAAATTTAGCGACCTGTATTAAGCCTGCCTCGAGGGTTAAGACTGGATTCCAGGGCTCGTTTAGGAGGCGTACATTTTCGGTCAGGGGCATGCTTGGAAACTTTTCTTATAAGTTCTGGAAATTCCTTCCAGTGGCCGGCCACACGCGCCGCGTCTAGAAGCCCGATATAGCGCTGGGCTTTCTCATTGTGCGTCTAGAACCGGGTCAGCGAGCCATACAAAACTGTGACAGGAATGCTTGGGACAGTGTACACTCATTCTGGAGGACGCGCGAGATATACTCGCGACTGTCAGCGTCCTATACTCGGTTCATGGTTGCAGGCACTTTGTAGCAGCTCCATCAGACGTGACTCTATTGCTGGCATTCCGCCAGGAACAATAGACCGGGAGATGAGGTTGACACATGCATTAGGGGATAAATGAGGAGGTACGAGTAAGGTGTACGGAGTATAGTAGAGTGAACCGTGCTATGGCTGCTAACAATGCGCGATGCGGTCATTGGGGCCGCGACATGCAAATCAACCAGTCGCAGTTTGCCTCGGAAAAAGAAAAAAAAATATTCCCAACTCCAACCACGACCACGTGTGTCGATCCCCTGTTTTTATACCACCAAAGAGTCCCTCTACACTTTGTTTGCATCAGGCGTCGTTCAATGCTATTAAACCCTCTAAAGACCCGAGAATCCGTCCGACGGCCATAGGAGCTATGCAACATGATACTGCTCTGCGGGCCATCACTACTCGGTTGAGTTCAACACCAGCCGAAGACCTTCCTCGAATATGCGGCTTCCTTGCGACCTCGTTGGCTCAATGTCCTGTCGAACTGCTTTCCTCAGACAGCAAAGGCAATAGCTCTTCTGTGGTCGCCCACAAACTCAAGACTCGAATCACCTCTTTGCTGCAGGACAAATCTACCGCGAGCCGGCTCAGCGCTGCTGTGCTCATCAAGGCAATTGTTGACAATGGTGGCTTGAAGGTTCTCTCGAACTGGGATGTCTGGGCTAGAGGCTTGATCAGCTGCTTGGGAAGACATGAGCCACTGGAAGTGAAAAGAATCCATCTGGCTACGGTGACTCGGATTTTTGTTCTCTCCCAGGAACAGCCAGGATTGTTGCGGGAGGTAACAACGCCACTCCTCCCTGGTTTTATCACAGCATGTTTTGGCCTCATCAAGCCAGCCACAGCTCATGTTGACAACAGTGTCAACCCCATGCTTCAATCGGTGCTTCAATGCTGGATCCAATTGTTGCCGCAGCATGCCACGGTCTTTCGCCCCTTCCTGAGCCGTATCAAGCCAATTTGCCTGAACCTGCTTGAAGACGCTCGGACTACGACTTTGACGAGGGAGCTCACCATTCAGCTTCTTTGCTTGTTATTGTCATGCACGCCGAAGAATACAACAGCTCAGGAATGGTCCCAGACAGCCTCCAACCTCATCGACAGCGTTCATCAAGCTGCCAACGTGTTTTTCAGATCCGTCATCGAGGAATACGAGCCCAATAACAAGGCTCGTCAAAGCTCAGCGGGAAGGCAAGATTTTTCCAAGGAGCCGAAGGCTTCTGGCACTGACCCAATGGGGTTGGGTCAATGGGTTGGCATGCACGACGGTAGTACCAGGCTTGCAACGTTGCTTGCGTGGTTAGGATGTCTAGTGTCAACGCCTACGTCTCAAGTTATTACAGTTCCTATTGGCCCAATACTTGACCTGACTGGTCGTATACTGGCAGTGACAGTACCTGGGCAGGGGTCAAACACAAGTGATACCCTAAAGTACAACAAAGAAATGAGTCGAGAAGAGAAGGAAAGTCTTTGGCTGAATCTTCCTCGCCTTCATGTGTCATGTCTTCGTCTACTCCAGAAATTAAGTGAGACCTACGGACAGGCTTCTCTTTCGGTGCATGAGTCAATGGTCAACCAAGTTGTGGGATCATTTGTTGCCATGGCAAGTGACGATATGGTGAGGCGAGAGGTCTATGTCACCTTCAGTTGTCTCTTGAGCAGGCTGAATACTACCGGTTTCGTGTTGCGTGAGACCACCTTCTCAACCCTACTTGAGCACTGTTGCAAGGACCTGCAACGCGCCATTCCCGGCTCGGATGAACGAAGCAACCAAAATCCCTCAAAGGATGGATTTTTGAGTGCTAAATCTACTTTGTCGGTGGCTGGGAGTCTTCGCTCACTTGAAAGGCAGCCCGCAGTATATCAAGCGGCTTGGAACTTACTACCAGCAATCTTGACCCATTGTGCGATGATATCACGCCAAGCCAGAATAGAAGCAGACAGACTGTCCGTGTTGCTCAATCATCACGATGCCATGAAGGCAAGTGTTATGCGTCCAATGCTGTCTAAAGACGGAAAGTCGAGGGCTCCCAGTCTACTTCCGTTCCTCGCCAGGAGTGCAGCAGATTGTCTCGACACCGAGGCTCTTCTCAGGCCTCGAATGCCCATTATACAAATTAACGAGCGCTCTGCCCAGGAACCACGCGACCCTCCAGTCCACCTTGATGTCAAGGAGGGGGAAGGCATAGCTGGTGAGGACAGCCAAGTTTCAGTTACCTCTGAGAGGACTGCCGAACCCTTGGAGGCTGACGTCAAACAACCGCCTACCATCAATCCCGAGGAACAGGAGGAGGATGAAGCGAGACAGACATTAACGGCGAGGAAGCGGAAACTTGAGAGTGTTCAAGACGGCGCTTCTCAGGCAGATACTCCGATGGTATTTGAGCCCTCCGAATCGTTGGATTCGAGACTGTCCAAGGTGCCACGGTTGGAGGATGACACTATTGAAGAGGTCAATGCAGTCGAGAACCCTCTGCCAAAACCTTTAGTTGCCACAAGGTCTGGGATAGAAGAACGGTCCTCCAACCCGGGAGTCCAGCCTGCCGGGACGGTCTCCAACATGGTTTCTTCCGAGACCAACGGAAACCCCGACAGTGATAGCAGTGACTCTGAGATTCCGACAATTGACCCGGACTTGGACACGGATGAGGAGGATCTTTGAATGCGTTAGCTCTGACAATCAGACAGGATATTTGTGACCATCACACAGTCCATGTGAGAAGTATAGTAGTGATGCTAGAGTCCACTTGTACAATAATTGGATCATCGTTGTAGATCTGAAGCATCCTAGCTTCACACTCACGTCGAAGCGGTCAGGGGCGACGCGCCGGTTGCGTCATTTGATAAACAAAACGTTTGGGGGCAACGTCCAAGTTCGTTCGCTTCAACATGCCGTGAAAAAGAACCCGTTCAACGGCTGACAGCTTGCTCCATTCTGCTGTATCATTCCTATGGGTTGAATCACCTTTAAAGGTTTCCTCCAACTCTGGCAAACTTTCTCTCGCTTCCTTTGGTCGTTACTAGCCTGTGGGGTACTGCGATAGATTCGCGTCCTTTCAGGTGCTTCCTTGATCATCATTAACAACACCATCATGTCCAAAAGAAAATTACCGTGGCAACCGGCATCAGACATCGTTGATCTCACCGGAGACGACGATGACGACGATTCTCAGAACCATTCGCGGTCCAAGGTCCCCAAGAAAACCCAGTCCTTCCGTTCTTCTCAAGGGCGCGCTACCCTTCCCACACCACCGTCTTCAAGTCAACCCGGAAATTCCTCACATCGCTCGAAACAAACACACAGAGATTACACGCCGAGTCTTAGCCAACTCAGCCAGAGATCCCACGGCAATGCCGCACACGATAGCTGGCTGGGCTCTACTCAGGAACAGGAGGCAGATATCGCCCGAGAGATTGACCTGACAGAGGACTTGGATGACGATGTATATGACAATTTTCAACTGTACGGTATACTCAATACCAAGATCGTTGGCTGTCGATTCTATGATGGCCAGGCCACGGTCGGAGAATACGTGAGGGTCAGGCGGGAGCCCCGTAATCAGTACGACAGCAATGCCATCAGAATCGATAATGTCCTCCGTGATCAAATCGGCCATATCGGCAGGAATGTAGCGGCAAAACTGGCACCGTTGATGGACGCTGGCTCACTCCTGGTTGAAGGTGCTTTGACAGGTCCAAAGACCTACTACGACTGTCCCATCGGTCTCAAACTGTTTGGCACCAACGACCCCGTTGCAGGTGCAGCTCTGGCCCGCCAGATGCAAGATCTGCATCTGCCCATTACAGAGTACAACAAGTCAGAAAGAGAACGCAAGAAGCGCCTGCAGGAGTTCGAGAAGCAGCAAAAGGCCAGAGAAAAGGCCGCCGCCGCAATGCGGAAGCAAGGCATGACGGTCTTTGACAACGAGGGACCGAACAAATATAGCAACATGGGCGCCCACCCGGGCTTGGGCGCACAGACAGAACCAAGCATGGATCAACTTCTCAGTGGGACTGCGGTGTTCAATCCCCGCGATGTACAGAGCGTCGTCAACAAGCTTGGAGCCGGGGAAGAGGTGCTTTCGAACATGTCCATGGCAGATCAGCCTAACGAGCTTGCTACGGTGCTACTACCTTACCAGAGACAAGGCCTCCAGTGGATGCTGGACCATGAGTCCCCCTCATTGCCCAAGAGTGCTGAGGATGTGGTTCAGATGTGGAAGAAGACGGGCAAGTATTACACCAATATTGCAACCAACTTCTCCTCAAGCAAGGCCCCCGATCTGGCTAGTGGAGGGCTCCTTGCTGATGATATGGGCTTGGGTAAGTGTTTTGCTCTGAAGCTTTGAACCCGTGGTCTGCTTCGCTAACGCCCTGTCAGGCAAGACTATTCAAATCATTTCGCTCATCATGGCCGATCCTCATAAAAATGGAGATCCGACCCTTATCATTGCACCGCTCTCAGTCATGAGTAACTGGAGCACGCAGGCCGCTTTGCACGTCAAGAAGAAGTATGCGCCACGAATTCTGACCTACCACGGTCCTCAAAACAAGGTATTGCCGCCAGAGCAATTGAAAGAGTACGATATCGTCATCACAACATATCAAACGATGACCCAGGAGCTCTTCCCATACGGCAAGACCACGCCTCAATCAACGACAGCACCGAAAGGGCTGTTCTCGGTGACATGGCGACGCATTGTCCTAGACGAAGGCCACCAGATTCGGAACCCCAAGGCTAAAATGTCGCAAGCAGCATGTACTCTTCGGGCGACATCTCGCTGGATTCTGACAGGCACTCCTATCGTCAACAGTCTGAAGGACCTGTACTCGCATGTCAAGTTCCTTCGTTTGCCAGGTGGACTGACAGAGTTTGAGGTCTTCAACTCCATTCTGATACGGCCACTGAAGAATGGGTACGATGGAGCACGCCTACTTCTCCAGGCCCTGATGTCGACCCTATGTCTACGACGTATGAAGGACATGAAATTCATTGATCTCCGGCTTCCTAACATCACATTTCACAAATATCCCGTGAAATTTTTGGCGCATGAGCAGGAGCGGTACGACGCTTTCAAGCAGGAGGCCAAAGGTCTGGTCGAAGCCGCAAAGGCCAAGAAAGGAGATTCTACCATGACACACTTGCTTGAAGTGCTTCTGAGGCTGCGCCAGACGTGCAATCACTGGAAGATGTGCGGGGATGAGAGAGTGAGAAAATTACTGGAGTTGGTGGAGTCGAATGAAGTGGTGGACGTAACCAATTCGGCGAACCGCAAAGCTCTACAGGATATGTTGCAGATACAGATTGACTCACAGGAGGATTGTTGCGTCTGCTTGGATTCATTGGACAATCCTGTCATCACAGCCTGCGCACACACCTTTTGTCGGGCATGCATCGAGAGAGTGATCGACACTCAGCACAAGTGCCCCATGTGTCGTGCATCTCTTCAAAACAGCGAGCAACTGGTCGAACCCGCAGCCGGAATTGGCGAAGGTGACGAGGTAGATCTTGATATTGATCCTGAGACTACCAGCACCAAGATCGAGGCGCTCGTCAAGGTGCTCAAGGCATCTGATTCGGATCCTTCCGTCAAGACGGTGGTGTTTTCACAATGGACATCGTTCCTCGATCTGGTCGAGGCTCAGCTTGTCCGCAACGGTTTACAATTCACGCGCCTCGATGGTAAAATGAACTCGACGAGACGTGACGCGGCGATTGAATCACTGAATTCTGACCCGTCTTGCAAAATCATGCTGGCGTCCCTTTCTGTGTGCTCTGTCGGCTTGAACCTTGTGGCCGCGAATCAAGTCATTCTCGCGGATTCATGGTGGGCTCCCGCCATTGAAGATCAAGCCGTGGACCGTGTCCATCGCTTGGGCCAAACTCGAGATTGCAAGGTCATTCGCTTGGTCGTAGAAGGCACAGTCGAGGATGAAGTGCTCGAGATTCAGGCGAGAAAGCGGAAGTTGGCCTGCGAAGCGTTTGGAGAGAAGGATGGGGGTAAAAAGAGAGAGGAGAGACGAGCAGGGACATTGAGGGATATCGAAAGATTGCTGGCCTAGGTCGGAATGTAGGAATCGAGAAAGGAAGTTAGATAGTCTGTTCAATTACCTGGGAGAATGGTCGGAGCTGGTTTCGGGTTTGTAGGAGTGAGGATGGCAGCGGTGAACTTGTAGGACCAGTTGAGCTTCAGGTCTGTGTACCTAGATACGAGATGGCGTGTTCAGGATCTCTTGGAGGTGTTCCGACGTTCTGTAGGAGATTCGTTAGCAATGCACGCGTCTAGTCGTAGTTGTACACGAAACGTGGCTCGCACCAGAGCGCAGACACGCCCCCGGCGCTTTTCCTTCTTCATTCTGTGTGCATAGATAAGTACCTGATGGTTCCATGGTGCCATCCATTGAGACTATGAGCCTTCCTCAAGCCGCCACGCGTGAAGCCGGTATCATGAAAAACAATACGATAAGGAAAATAAATGGTGTGATGGAAAAAAAAAAAGATGGTGGTGGACACCATAGCAACGACACAAGAAACAGCCACAGTGGGTATATTTCTACAAGTAGCCACATCGGACCATGAAACCCCGAGCCTTGGGGCGGGTGAGGCTCACTTAGGCTTCCCTAACCTCGTTCAACGTCCACCGAACCTCGCCTAAAGAGCCTAAACCAGCCCCGTAGTCCGGCCCTTTGCAGGAAATTGCGCTTACCTATCGTCGGGGTGGGTTGATGACAAGCGCTACCTGCTTGGACTTTGTACTTGTGCTACTACTGGCATTCCACGCATCTGCAACGTGCTCGAGCACATGCTTTTCCCAATTGTTTTGCCCCCCTCTCTTGTCTCAATCTCCTGGTGTGGTGACTTCCCGGAAAGAGAAGACGTGTTCGTGGGAATACCGGGATGCCCGCGAGGAGGACCACATCAAAGTGATAATGACTTGCAGATGAGTCGCAACCGAGGCTGTTGATCTTGCATTGTTTCTGGGGAGGCATCTGACCCTCGACATCACTGAGGACGAGTAAGAACATCAACAGTTGCATCACTCCGCACCAAAGAAAGACGTCACCTCTGGACTGGCCGCAGAAAGAGGCTGCTGTTTGGTTTGTTTGTGGGTAGCACTGGTGGCTCCAAGTGGCTCCTGGTGTCTCCAGTGGCAGGGCAGAGTTCCAAACGCCACTACAAGAACCAGGGCCTGTGGGAGCTCCCGCCAATAGTTAATCCAGCAGGACCAGCTCCCTTGGGACATTTGGCCAGGTGCTTGTATCCGGTGCGGGGGACCCAACACCTACTGCACCCACTGCACCCGCAGCACCACCTCAATCGCCCAAGCAGCCACTCACAACTTCGCCCGGCTCATGCATGTCGCAGCTTTCTGCGTCTCGAAAAAAAGTGGTTGATCATCATCACTCGGTCACCATCCCTCGGGCCCAGCGGTGGCTAACTCCCACTCTGCCAGTTTGAGCTACATGACTTTGAGAAGTCTTCGACTGTCTTTACCACCTAAATAATCTCGTCCATCGGCCGCCGGTGACAGTCTCTCCTTCAGTACCGCCTTTCCCTCGCCATCATGGCACCTATCCGCGCGGCGGTCTTTGCGACGGTGAGAGCTCCCTGCAGGACTAACCGCGCTGTTTCCCCGCATTGTTGTTGACTATCACTGACGCAAAACGTGATCAGCTGCTTCTGAACGATGCCTACCTACCAGGTATGTCGAGCAGGATCCCTCTGTCCCAAGTTGTTCTCAAGCTCAAACTGTCAATAGGCGCTATGGTCCTGGGCCATTCATTGAAAGACAAAGGCGCAAAAGCCCCGTTGGTGGCTTTTATTCTGGTCGATAGATTGTCCTCCGAAACCATCACTGAGCTGCGAGTCCGTTCCTCTACCTGAATATTTCCCTGTACCAATGCTGATAATGCCAGACCGTCTACGACGAGATCGTACCGATACAGGAGATCCAGAATAAAAACCCCTCCAACCTCTACCTCATGAATCGAGCCGACTTGATATCTACTTTCACAAAGATCGAGCTGTGGCGGCAGACGCAGTTTAAGAGAATAGTGTACTTGGACGCAGACATGGTCGCGCTCAGGGCTCCGAATGAGCTTCTCACACTTGACACGAACTTCGCTGCAGTACCGGATATCGGCTGGCCCGATTGTTTCAACAGTGGCATGATGGTGCTGAATCCCAACATGGCCGATTACTATTCTCTCTATGCTTTGGCACAAAGGGGAATCAGCTTCGACGGAGCTGATCAGGGTCTCCTCAACATGCACTTTCGCGAGTGGGAGAGACTGAGTTTTGTGTACAACTGCACACCAAGCGGCCACTATCAATACGTCCCTGCCTACCGGCACTTCTCAAGTAGTATTGCAGCAGTGCACTTCATCGGCAAAGACAAGCCATGGACGTTGGGTAGAGATAACAAGCTCAATACAGGTGTGTACGGCGAGCTACTGGGAATGTGGTGGTCCGTCTACGACAGACACTATCGACCAAAGGTACGCTGTATTCTCAAGGGAAAGCGAATTGTGGTCCGACTGACTTTTACAGACTGTCACCTACTACGACGCCCAAACTTTTGATTCCTCGAAAAAAGTGCAAGACTACGTTCGTGGGGAGGAACCTTTGTACGTAGTAGGCTATTCCAGCCACCAGCCAGGACCCGGTCCAATTTCACAACCCCAGCACCAATACCACTATCATCCAGAGCAACATCACCATGAACAACAGCAGGGGCAACAGCACCAATATGACCACCATCAACAGCAGGAACAACATCAACCTCAGCATCACGAGCAGCAGCACCATTATCCGACATCCGAAAATACTGGACAGATTCCCTTACCTCCGCAGATCCAAGTGTCTCAACCCGCATCGGGTCACACAACCTCAATAGAGCTGCCCTTGGGCGACGCACCTACTCCTAAAGCCGCATCTGACTTCCACCCGGTTCCCACAGTCGAACAGAGGCGATTCTCGGCACCACATGCCGAATGGGATCCCGCAAGGTAGGCAAATGCTTGTGCTTGTGCAATGTCGGATGAGTTGCTTATAGTGAACAGAGAGCCTCCGCCTACACACTCGAAACCAGAGGCTGCCAACTTTCCAACCACGATCTATGACATGTCGAGCGAGACTACGCTCTTCCAACCGCCCTCTCACTATCCGGAGGCGCCAAAGGATATGTGGTATCAGGTGCCTGAAAAGGTTCCCGAGCCCGAGAAGCCGAAACCAATCTTCCCCTGGGAGACAAGGGCACCCAAACCTACACGAGTGTTTCCTCAACCTAGGCAGCCGAGTCCACCACCACCTCCTCCGCCGGAACCGGAGGCCATTGTCTCTGAGGAAGTGACAACTCCCTCGGCCGCGACGGACGACACTGGAGTGACGGAAGAAAGCGTGACCACACCGCCTCAAGCACCAGTGGACCTTTGGGCTTCGTTCCAGCAACGGAGCAATGCATGGGATGACATGCCTGAAATAGAGCGCTACGTCCAGGCCATCAGTCAACCTCGGAAAGGCAAGATACAGGTTCTATATAATACCCTAGGACAACGCTCGCCCCGTAATACCAGTGGCACCACCACTCCAACAGAGAGAGACCGACGACGCCCGAGCATCAGACTCACCGACTTCCCGACCAAGGATGAGCGCCCGAGCTTACCGGTGACCCCGGCACCGATCCGACGACCTACCTTCTGGGGTGAGGAGAAGGAAGAAGAAGGAACCTTGCCGACCGCAGAAGGTGTACCAAAACAAGCAGAATGGGTGCGTCGATTCTCCCACTACCCTCAACCTGAGTTTCCTGCTGCTTCACATCCCCCATCGCATGATGTGCATCGTGATTTCTATTGGAGATGCCAATATTGTGGGAAACAGAACCCGATTACAAAGTTGGAACAACTACAATTGTTGCAGAGTGAGGCGTTGTTATCGCCCACAGGGCCACGGGAATTGGCAGAGGTGGCAGAGCCTCCCGCAAGAAAAATGCCCGAGAGTTCAACCAAGGAAGAGATGGAGAAGGCGGTAATTTCACACATATCCCCTACAAAAGTACCAAAACCTCCCAAACCCATACTAAAGCCCCCTCACTTTGAACTGGGGCAGGATACTGTTGAGCCTGTGGAAAATCCAGTAAGAGGTGGTCCACGAGACAACAATCTGTCTGGGTCTGTTGGGTCTGCGCGAGTGAAAGAGGAATCGATTGATCCACTGTCTAGGCCCGGGACGGATGACAAGGAAGATGGGGGAGTTGCTCAGCGCGAGCCAAGAGTCGCTGTGGCAGCTACGAAGGCATGATACTGGAATTCGATGGATAGGAAGGGATGAATGATGAGGAGGTTCCATCAAAAAGGTGGGAACATTTCTGACAAGTGTTTTGCAGCATGCTTGTTGTCGAGATTGAAAAGCTCTCTGCTTGTTTATGGTCGTCTTGGTCTGGCGTTTCGGATCTAAGCATGACTTATGCATGGGAATGGAGCATCTTTGGACGTTTAGTTTTGAGGTTGAATGAGCCATTGCCATGGGCTTATGAGTTCTTGTCTAATGTGTATCATTATATTCAACAGCATGGCATGGCAAGCACATTGATTTTGCTACTGCATTGGGCGGTGCATGGAGCGGTGCCTATGGTGACTAAGATACATATACTTAATTGACAATTTTGGGAGGTCCCATAGCCTGTGATCCTGGTTGTTTCTGGGGATTGTGGCAATTCATCGCCGCTTATCAAGAAAAAAGGGGGTCATGCAGGAGTTCAGCCTTGGCTTGGCGCCCAGACTCGGTCTCCTCAGCCTCACCTCCTTTTCGTTGTCGAGACTCAATCAGGCCTCCTGAGGTACTACCAGCTTACATTCACTAAGGACTGGAGAGGTCTTTTCCAACCAACTCATCTAAACATGTCGACTCCTCCTTGAGCTTTCTGGGAACTCCCTGGGCAAATATCTCTGGTTGACGCCCTACGAGAGGTACTGAGGCCTGGTCGTTGGACGTGGCTTATTAATGCCACAGCAATCGAGTACTTGGTTCCAATTGCGCCCAAGCCCAATAACTCGGCTTCCATCTCTTCAAATCTTTCCAGGCGTGGGAAAGAAACGCTATAGACGCCCATGATGGCCTACTCGATGAGTGTCAAACTCTCTGCCACCGAGCTTGAAGAGCGCCGCCGTCAGCTCAATGGTGTTGGGTTCCGTGCCTGGTTCTCCCCGATTATCCTCTTGGTCGTCGTCTATTTCTATCGACGCTACTTGCTTCCAGTACTCTTCCCGTCGAGGTCACGAGAATCATCCTCTGGCTCTCGACATGTATCGCGGGTGCAGCTATTCCTTCGACGTGCTGCGTGGACGTTGCAGACGACATACATACCCGAATTTGGCCCCCTGTCTGTTCAACTGCTTGGCTTGATATATGCGGCATGGCTGCTTTATCTCACCTTTCGCAACACGGGAAACGACTACATGCACCTGACCAAGGCGTTTGGCCACGTGGCAGTCTCTCAACTCCCGATGCATTACCTCCTGTCCCTCAAACATACCACTTATTCGCCCATCATGTTGGCCACGGGGCTGACGCACGAACGCCTCAACGCCATTCACCGTATGTTCGGACGCATGGTCCACATCTTTTTGGCCGCACATGCCGTGCTCTATCTCAAATTCTTCGTCGCAATGGGCTTTCTGCCGAAGCGGATCAAGGATCCCGACGTCCGGTTGGGCGTCCTGGCATTTTGGATGTTCAATTTCCTGGGGTTGCTGAGTGTCCCCGTGGTGAGGAGGAAAATGTACCATGCCTTGTTCTATAGAAGCCATGTGGTGTTGAGCGCCCTCGTGATTCCGGTCTTGTGGGCGCACGTGCCTTATACGCGCTTCTACGTGGTGCAAGTTGCGGCGATTTGGATTCTTAGCGGGTGGTTGAGGAGGGTTAACGGGGCGACGAATGTGCGAGAGGTGAGATGTGAGGATATGGCTGGCACGCAGCTCGTGCGAGTGATGCTTCTTGTGGACAAGGCTAGTGCGTTGGCGCGTGCGACTCCTGGGCAGCACGTCTACGTTCGTCAGCAGAAGGGCATGATCGGTCCGAAGACGCCGTTTACGATTGCGAACGTGCAGCTCTCGGCCAGAGATGAGAAGGAGCAACTGGTCGAAGTGATGCTCGTGTTACGAAATATGGGTGGTCCTGGCACCTCCTTTCTCGCATCCCTTTCTAAGCGGGAGCCGGCGACGAATGAACTCCAGATCGAAGGACCCTATGGCGAATCCAGCGTGTACATGCCCGAGATCCTCGACTCGGGTCTCGACCACGATTCAGTCCTTCTCGTGGCTGGTGGGATAGGCGCCACGTACGTCTTGCCGATATACACGGCTCTGTTGCAGTCACGACGACGGCGTCGTCGTCAACATCGAGCAGATGGTGGGACACAGGGAGAAGGAGGAAGAGGAGGACGCATCAAAATGATGTGGCTGGTCAAAACCCTCGCCGATGCGCGATGGGGCATTGAGCTGCTCGCGCGGTGTCTGTCAGAGGAAATCTCGCTCGATGTGAACGTTTACATCACGACCGTCTCTTCGTCTTCGTCGTCTCCCGAGGCACTCGGACTCGGACTCGGTTTGTCCAGTGCCTCTTTATCCTCGTTGAAGAAACGAGGCCTCACCATCCACCAGCTCGGCCACCGTCCGGCTCTTGACCCCGTAGTCGACGAGATCTTTTCCTCCTCGAGCACTGACCGCGCTCCCCTGACTCGGGACCATGGTGTCTCGGTGTTCGTGTGCGGCCCACGCCGTCTGTCCGGCGATGTGAGGGCGCTTCTGGGTCGTCGTGTCGTCAGCGAGGGGGAACGGGTCAGGTGGTTCGAGGAGGTCTTTGGGTTCGGTGGGAATTGAGAGCGGGCGGTGTTGTTTGGGTGGGGTATATATCTATTATTTATATCTGGGGTATAATATTGTGGTTCCTAGAGTACGTTCTGTGTACTATGGACGATGGAAGTTCTCAGGGAGAGATAAGTATCTTGTCTGGTCTGATCAGGCAACGGTGAGAGTCAATGATGGGGTGAGTGCGAGTGAGAGTGTTGGTGAGAGTCAAACAGGACAACACCAGTCACAAGACACACAAACCGTCATGGATGACCCTCTGTCTGGATCCATCTGTGTCTGTGTCTGTGTCTGTGACGTTGCTTATGCCCATCTCAGGCTGAGTACGCTTGACTTTGCTTAGTTCGCTGTACGTAGCCTAGGGTTGATATAGTAACTAGAAGAGCCCTGTACTCCTTCACACATCTGCAATACCTATGACACCAATTCACACCAACAGCACCACACT